GTGCCCCCCCCCCCCCGAAAGTTGTTGAGAAACTTGCCACCGGACGAGTGGGTCGCGGAGGTGGCGAGGGCCTACCCAGACGACGACGAAGTTAAGTCGATGATGGGGCAGGTGGGGAAGCTGATGCGGATGATCGACTACTACCAGAAGAACCAGCCCAAGAAGTAGTCAACAAGCACGTGCCTCGGCCGTGCCCCCCCCCCCCCCCCCCCCCCCCCCCCCCCCCCCCCCCCCCCCCCCNCCCCCCCCCCCCCCCGCCTTCGGTGTGGTCCGAACGCTTGTTCTCAGGGCGGTTTGCCGGTGAGCGCCGTTCGTTGACAACGCTGCATCACCCCGAACCCGAAAGGTTGTGCGTTTTTTGTCCTCCCGAGCGCGCGGGGGGCAGCGGGTTCGGGTTCGGGTTGGTTGCTGCTCTTTTTGATCCTGTCCGGGTTTGTACGTTTCGCCGGGGCGACGGGGTCTCGGTTTCTGTCAGGGCCAAGAGGCTGGGCAAGCAGCGGTGACTGCGACGTTATCCCGGCGGAGAAGCTGGCAAAGAACGCTGCTACGCTACTGCTGTACAGCAGCAGCGTCTTGTAGACAGTGTTGCCTGCCGGACCTGCTCTTGTCTCACTCTGTCCCGCAAGTAGAGAGACCGTAGGCAATGATGTTGACGATTGGAATATATTGGTTATCTCCAGGGCTGTCCCCGTTAACGGGGTTTCATGCCGGATTCATTTCCCGCGTTAACCATAAACCACGGTACAAAACAGAATTTTTTGGGCGGTAACTGGCCACCACGGTAATGCACAGAAATGTGCATTTTTTTCCGTATATGGTCACCACGGTACATGTTGTACAGTTGACCACACAAGGTCACGTAGGGCCCTGTTTCGAATGCTTGTTTTCAAGTGTTCCCGAAGGGTGTGGTCACGGCACACCAAACGTGCGCGGCACATTCACCGAGCATCACACCCGTCAACCAAAACGGTCGCATAGTCTATATCCACTTCATTGCACCGGCAGGCTCTCGTGGCCTCACGACGACGTATGTCTATCGCTGCGCCAAGGAATATGTCATCAACAGGAGAGCCAACAAGCAAGCGCCGCCTTCCTCATCCACAGAGAAACGGTGCAATGGTTGAACGGCTCACCAAACAATACAAGACAACCCCTACGCAACAGCCTCCCCCATAAAACATCAAACCAAGAAGATGGGGGAAAAAAGTATGGAGCTCGGACCCATGACCTCGCGCAGGCTATTGGATAGAGTACGTACCTCCTGATCTCCAGGGGCACACGAGCATTTTACTGTGGCGGATGGCAATGCAACTGGTGTTTCTATGCGGTAGATGGGATCTTATTGTTCCTACGGAAACTCCAAAACACGGGAATTCCGATTTTTCCGCGGTATTGTTTTGTACGGTTATGGGGCACTTCAATTTGTTCGGTAACGGTTTGGGCGTTAACGGTAAGGTTCATTTATTACGGAAACGATTTGGATGGGAACGGTAATTCTCATTTGTCACGGGATCGTGGTAAACGGTTATTACCGTGGTTTTCCTGGGGTATAATTACCGCGAAGAATTCAACGAGGACAGCCCTGGTGATCTCAGGCTTCTCGACCGACGGAAAAGCTGGAAATCTGGCAGGAGGCTGGTCGGCACTGCTGCTGCACTGGGCATGCTGTTGAGGGGCGTGAGCGAGTGTGAAGGGCGGCGGGTATGATTGGTTATTGTTCACTTCAATGGTCTAGCGATGAAGAGCAACAGCAACCGGTGTTCGTCCTATACGTGCCATCGACGCTTTCATCTTCCTCTTCTTTCGAACCATGTCTGACGACCAGAGGAATCAGAGAAATATCTGATGACAAGATAGTGTGGACAGCTGTGCAGACCAGACAGGAAGACTCGAAGACACGGTGATCAAACACCCCATGACAAGGTACCTTGCGTCGACGAGGCGAAAGAGCGTGCCTCTCGAGCCCGGGCCATTTACGCGGCTCGATCGAGTGAGCAGTCTGCTTTGCACGCACTGTCGTGTGTTTGTGCGTGTGTTGCACAGCATACTTGCTGACGCATTAGGTGGATGGGAGCACCGCTGCTGTACCCCATGCTCAGCAATGAAAATCAGGCATGTGCCACAAGAGGAGAAAAAAACAAGATGCGGACGCCAAAGGCGGCGGTCTGTTTATTCTCCAAGTCTGGAGAATCAATCCACCCGTTTGGCTATATCCACCCACTGAAGGCCGAAGCGACCCCAGGCCGAATTTCTCTCCACCACAAGGGACACCAACTACTGCACGCCCTACTTCGGTGTACTACTGTACTCGTTCTCGATCCCACACAAAGCCCACTGTGGAAAGCACGGAAGGCCCACAGCCGTACATGGCGCATTGCCTCTAATGTATTATTTCGAAGTCAACAAGACGACACTGTTATCTACGCGTTGGAGCAAAAAAAGCCTGATCTGAGGGAGAACATGAATTAAACCCCGATTTGTCCATTACGAAGGGGGCTTGACAGGATAGTTTCGACACGCAAAACATATACATACACTCACAAACACCGGGAGTTGCCACCAAACCAGCCGCGCACCGCTGATGCTGATTTCCAACCACGGAACCGCACAGATCTCCATCCCTTACGAAATACAATATTATGAATCTATGGAAAGCGGTTGTGGCACATTGGCCTCCGCCGCTCGCGCAACTCGCGCGATACACGGGGCTTTTCTTCTCGACATCCCGAGCGAACTGTGCGCCACACGGTTGAAGAAGCTTCTTCACGACAGGAGCCCACGCACTCAAATTGCACGTACCACCGGCTAGAGCAATCCGGCAAAAAAAAAAAAAACTGGGCTCGTGCAGCACTCCACACCGCACAAATGCAAACGAGGAATCAGGCGGACAGATATCATGCACAACCCCCCCCGCAACTTCACACTCGCTTTCCAGCTGCCGCAAGGGCTCTTCAAACGATTTTTCAGCGCCTCAAGGGCTATACTACATGGTATGGGGCACGCCCAGCAGAATACGCGTGAGCAAAAAAGGAAAGTCAACGTCACCAACCACATGGCTCTAATGTTTGGTTCACCAGATCACAGTTAAGGCAACCATACTAGACTACATGAAAAAACACTTTCCACACGCAAAAAAAAAACACATGAGCAGAAACCGCATGCATACGTGCGCGTCCGAGCGACCCGAAGATCCATCAGAAAGGGCCCCTGTTGCGTGGTTTCCCGCTGTATCTACCGCCGTGTATGACACAAGATAACACACCTCTTGGACCGATTTTCAAAGCTCGATTACTCCACGACGAAGAGGATGAATAAACGAAACGATACATTTTCGAAAAGCTCTCGACGAGACGGTTTTAACGCCGCCGTTTTCGGCGCTGTGACTGTTCCTGCAGTTTAGAAATCGAGGTTCAAACATTGGTCAAGGGGGTGTGTTATCTTGTGTCATATACGGTAGGCATCTCACCCCCTCCTCAAAACAAACCTTGGTGATGTGCTAGCCTGGTCCGGTGAAAACCCGGCGTGGTCCTTCCCGGCTTTGTAGGGATGTGAGGTCAATGGTCTAACAACTACGGCAGTAAGTACACGCCCCCCCCCCCCAACC